ATGAAAATTGAAACATTTTTTGTTTCTGAAGCATGTTAGCTTTTGATCATTTAAATAACTTTCCCTCCCCCTGTCTTTTTGTCTCTTTCTGAAGCTTTCCATGAGTGTGTGAAAATGCCTCCTACACAATTCCATCATCACTTTTTGAGTACCCACTATGTCTTTTCTTCAATTTTGAATTTGGATTACCTTGGAACTTGTGTAGGATGGGTTCACTTTTTGTTATGCTTAATCTCAATTGTTCCTTCCCAAGGCAGAAGGGGGAAGTGGCATTACCTGAAAGAGGTTGATGAGCCTTAAGGGCTGTTACTTAGGCAGCTTGTGGCTCTAATCACTTTTTCCTGGAGCTCATGCTCAATTGTCACTCATTTAAACTTGACTATTCTCTTATCTGGTCTGGTGCTCATAGTCTCTAACTCAAACATGAAAAATTACGAAGTTCTAGAAAAAAGCATTTTGATGTCAGATAAAAGTAGCGATTGGTTTTTAAAAGAGAAGAAAAGGAACAATCAGCAGCTCTGAGTGTTGGATAAAGCTAGTTTTATGCTGGAGTGCTACAATTATACATTTTGTTTTCTTTTATGTGGATACGCTAGTCACAGAAGTTCAACTTAGTTCAAGTGAATCTAAATATATATTTTCCTAAAGACAAGTGAATCTAAATAGAGCGCAATATATATTCTGTTTGTGGAATGAAATGGGCCTAAATAGAGCGCAATAGATATAGATGATGCGTATAGCCTCCTCCAACTTTTTAGGGACTGAGGAGGAGTTGACTGACTCATTGTTGTTCTATGTATTTTGTATATCTTATCTTTAGTTAACTGTTGATGACATTATCAAAGGGTAAATCAATCATAGTACTATGCTAGTGCTGTTGCCAAGGTGACTGTCCTCTGTTAGTTTCATGTTTAAACATTCTTTATATTAAGAAAATGGAATTAATATGAAGGGGAAAAATAGGGAAAATTTATTCCCATTTTTTCATTAAAAGATAAAATAAATTTAGATGCTGTAGTTTTGCATTTTTCTATAATATCGTTCAGGCCTTTGTGCTTTTTGTTTTGCATGTATTGTATCATTCAGGTCTTTGTGCTCTATGTCATGTCAGGTTGTTATTACTAGCATAAACATTGATGGCACTCTTCTCCTTATTGGCAGTCACCAGAAAGAAAAGGTAAATGTCATGATTGTCTATCATTTTGATATCGGGTACTTTCCTAGAGTGTAGTCCTACTTTCATTTTATGGTAAGTCCCAAAAAAATAGTGTCCATTTCCTTAAATGAGCAGATTTTAGTACATTTTTAAAGCAAAGGTCTAGTGGATCCAATTTTATTTCTCTCAATACAGTTTTTCCTCTATTGTCTTATCCAACAGCAAAGTTGACATGTGATTCTACATTGTTTCCCAAATAATAACTAAAACTCTCAGAGTTCAACTTTCCCCTCCTAGTGGCTAGTACTCACTGCATTCACTTTTACTTATCCACTTGTACTAAAAATAGATGTCCATTTTTACTTGTCCAGTTTAGAAAACCAAGAGATAATTTATCACTCAGTTCCTAATTTACCCTTATTATTAACTATAGTCATTTCACAATGCATTTATCAAAGCATTGAATTTCTTATAGCCAAAGGGGATATAGTAAAATTGTCATTCTATTTATTGCTCTTTAAGGGGTGTGCCAAGTCAATACTTGACAAGTAAAAATGGATGGATAGAGTAATACCAACTAAGCGAATTAAAATTGGGATTGAATGGAATATTTCACATTGGATTTCGATTTATCATCTGGTCAGCATTTCATCCTTTCTATGACGTCATGCAAACTGGAAATGAAATTTGCATGTGAACTTTCTTAAGATTGTGAAGCAGCTAGTTTATCCCTACTATTGCTCCCATGAAACTGGTTAATTCTGAGTTTTAAGCATCACTGTTCTGTTTTTATTTAGGAATGATTCCGCCACTCAGTGTTATTTTCACTAAAAAGTTCCATGATATGGATATCTAATTTGACAGGGTCAATCTCCTGAGCAATTCAAGATTGTGATACCGAAAATTCCTGCATATTTCACGGTATGTGTCTTGCAACTAGATAATTAAAGAAGTTTGACTTTGGAGGGAAATTTTTTTGCTTCGTTTTCCTCAAAATTATTGTATCGCATAAATTAGTGCTTTGCTGGAATAATTGATACAGGTTATAAAGATTATCCTTTTCTGGGGTTCAAAGAGAAACATTCCCACATAGATTACAAGTAATGTCATCAACATGTTTATCATTTTTCTCTTGTGGGGTAAGTTCCATGGAGAAACATTGAAACGACATTTGTTACTTTGCAAAAATCTGAGAAACCAATCCAAAAATTTGAGTCAATCATTGGAGCGGCCAAGACTCTTATAAACTCTTTGAAGTCTAGACAATTTATGTGGGATGATGTGTTACTCAATATCCTCTTGCACAAGTAACTTGGTCTTACACTTCACAAGTGAATTTTAATGCGTACTTAGGGGTGCGGAAGGGACGTTCCAAATCTGTCACGATGTGAAAGATATGCGCATCCAACCCAACACCTCTAAACAATGGGTAGAACGTAATTCTCTCGGAAGCCCGTACATAATCCATGTTATACAATTAGTAACTCCACACTTCCAACTTCTTAATTTGTCAAAAATCCTATGTATGAAACTTTAGTTTTTCCAAGCATTCTTTCATTGTTTAGGAGTTCAATGCTTATTCTTTTAGTTATTGAGCGATGTGAGCTCCGTCTAAGAGGGAGGAAGGGAAAGAGAGCTGGCATCGGCAGCTATGCATCTAGTTATTAGATACATCTTATTCTGTTGGTGTCCAACATGATAAATCCTGCTAATTAGTTATACAAGGATTATTCCTATTTATTAAATGGTATCAGGATACCACTCAATTTTCATTTTGAATGACAAGGCTGGTGGGTGTGCACTTTTTACAACAATGTAGAAATCCCAGAAATTGTTTTTGGGTTCTTACTTTAATGCTCATTCACCTGCATCAGTTTCTCAATACATATTAGCCCTTGTAAATTTATTCAATATACATTGCATGCTTGCAGGGAACGGGGGATTTAACGACTGCTCTGTTGCTTGGATGGAGCAATGTAATGTTTGACTCACTTAAGACAAAGTCTGAGCTTTATTTTCCACAATATTCTGCTCTGATCTTAATTTTTTATCTCATACAGAAATATCCCAATGACCTCGACAAAGCGGCAGAGCTTGCTGTCTCAAGTGTACAGGTACTAGTGTGCAACCCTGTTGTTTGTGTACATCCACTCATGTAATGTCTTGAACGTGGAGACTGAATCAGCATGTTGAATAAGTTATTATGACAGCATCTAACTAGTTTGATTGCATTGTCATGATTTGGGAAATTTGTTTCATAAACCTATGCTAATATCCAGGAGCTTATTGTAAACAGCCATGAGCATTCTGCCGGACTGAACAAAAATATAGGCACATGCTTTTTTATACTTGAAGGTTAAAACAGCGGCTTGTCTTGACTTGTGCCAAGAACAAATATAATGTGTTTTCTAATTATTATTTTTTTGGATTTTGATGCAACGTAGTAGTATTTAGTCAAAATTTGGGTAGTGTGCACAGTGCACATTCAACTGTCCAGAATTTTCATGCTTGTGACGAACATTAGTTGCTTGCTCTTTTTGTTAAATCAACCAATTTTGTTGCTTGATGCAGGCACTTTTATTGAGAACACTAGCAGATTATCAAAAGGCTGGCTATGACTGCCAATCAAGCAGTTTGGAAATTCGGTTGATCCAGAGCCTGGATGACATCCGCAACCCAGAAGTTAAATATAGAGCTAAAAGATACAACTAAGATTCTGTTGTGGTCTGGTCTATTTATTCCTTTAGGATAGTCTCAGTAGAATGAAACAGTTTCATTTGTACACAATATAAATAGAGTGGACCATTTAGCTCTTGTTGCTGAGACGTTCATATCCCCCATTAACTTATAATTAGATGGCAACAGATAGTACTGAGAAGAGCATTCTGGGAAAAGAGGGTATGGCAATCGTTATATTCATTTTGCTATTCCCTTTCTCCTTCATTTGTTTGTGCTTTATCTTTTTGGCAATTCTGTGCTTCGCAAAACTTGGAAGGGGCAACACTTGTATACATTATCTCACCTAAAAATTGAAAGAAAAATTACAGGGACATGTTTTGGTATTTTTTAAAATTATATAGATACCTTGCTCCGTTCTTGTAGGCTCTTGGATCAACGAACTGAGGCACGAGTACACAATCATTTCCATGTTATGGTGGGTTTGATCAACATCGACCATCACTCCACTAGAAAGTAGAGAAGACCACCAAAGTAGACTAGTTTGGGGTAGAGTGTAGACCTTCCACTTTGGCGCACTCAAACAGGTCGAGTAGAACCTCTCTCATTAAGTGGAGTACAAACTATTACACACAAAGGCGACTCTATGTATAATCTACTTGAGATTTCTTATCTAAGTGGGTGTTTGGAAGTAAAAATGGTGAAATTTGAGAAAACGTTGAAAATTGGAGTACTAGGTCTTGGGTAGGGATCTCCCAAATGAGGTGTGTCAGGTATGAAATATCCGACATGTTTTCTTGGTTGAGCTTAATTATACTGGAGTGAAATTTACCTTGTGCACATTCAAAAGATAATGATTGCAGTTTTTTTGGTCATAGAAAGAAGTACTCGGCCTTGATGTAAGCATAAATATCTGGACTTGGTTGTTTTAGATTTTTGAGAACTATATTTCTTAAAAGTTGTACAAAAATATTTTTTGGAAAATTAAAGTTATACGTACGTACTAGTTTTCCGGGAGAAAAAAAAAAAGAACTCATCGTGATGGGGCTAATTAGAATTTGTCGGAAAATGAAGGGCAGTCATTGTAATTACTTTTTCTCACGAGGACCAATAAGCAGTTTCTACAAGTTTGAGGGGCAGAACCTGATATTTTCGCTAAACTTCATCGGAACGTTTAAAGAAGTTTCTCGAACCTGGGCTCGCGGGAAAGCCCGTTCCAGTAACAACAAAGAGAATATTTTGGAGAGTTCACAGACAGCGAAAAAAAATGGAAGCTGAAGCAGCAATAGAGTTAGTGAAGCATGGCGCTACCTTGCTACTTCTTGATGTTCCTCAGAATACCCTCATCGGTATTGATACCCAGGTCTGTTTTAATTTTTGGAATAATTTGCTGTTCAATTTTTCCAAGTGATTGATATCGTTTTAATTTGAAGTAGTTTCGTTATTTGTAGATGTTTTTCTCTGGGCCTAATTTCAAAGGTGTGAAGATGATTCCTCCTGGCGTCCATTTCATCTATTACAGTTCATCCAACAGGTGCTTTTTGTAGCTTGAATCCCATTGCTTATCGTTTTCTTCAGGAACTAATCAAGCTTCTAGCTCTAGGGTTGTGGATTAGTCATCCTGAAATAGTGGTTTCGAAGTACTTAATTATAAGTTAAAAGTGCTGGAAATATGATCATACATTAGAAACGTCAAATTCTGTACTCCAGTTTGTTGTTTCTAGTGAATGCAGCAGTGACTTTCCTGTTAGCAATTTAGATTCCTGTTTGTTGCATAAGAACCTATTTATGTCGCTTAACCTTTTTACTGATATAGGCAACTCATTTCAGTATCATAACTATAGAGTTTAGACCTAGAAAGCTCAAATTAAATTCTTCTTGTTTCAAGTGAATGGGCGTCACTGACCTTCTCCCAACAGTTTATCATTCATTTGTGTTGTAAGAATCCTGTTCTGTTGCCAGACCTTTTAATTTAGTGTACTGTATTATTCTTTTTTGCTGTTGTTTGTTGCTCTTTGTCTTTGGTTTCTTTCTCTTCATAGAAAACGATATGATTAGTCACTAATGTTGTCTTTTCTTCTTCTGGGTGCAGAGAAGGGAATGAGTTCTCACCAATAGTTGGTTTTTTCGTTGAGGCGAGCCCTTCAGAGGTTAACAAAAAATCTCATTTGCCAATTCTGCATTTATTTGTTGATCCATTCATGTTTATAATTGTTCTGATCTCTTCTAATGTTGATAGCTAGATAGTGTTTGTACAGTTTTATGTTGCCAAAGCATAGACACAGATTCAATTATATTATCATAGATTCTTTATATGCTAATCTCTTGCTTTTTTTTGTTGATTGCTTTTTTTCCATGTTTGAACAATTGTTCACTTGTCATTGATGTACTAAATGTGTCTTCTTTTCTTTTATGTCAAAGTATGTTGGGAAACTTAACCTGTCTTCCAATGATAATTGAGCAGGTAATTGTTAAGAAATGGGATTCAAAGGATGAGCGATTTGTCAAATTATCCGAAGAAGAGGTGAGTTCTCCTAAAAAAATTTATTACTCCCCTTTCTCTCTTTTCTTTTCCTTTTCTTTTTTTTCCCTTGTTGGTGATTGGTTATGTGTGCAGAGAAATCTGCTCTGATCCAGCATGTTAAAAGCTAGCCCATAACATGTTAGCTAGTAAGGTGGAGCCCAATCTTATTACCCAGTACGATACTTCATCTTTTCTCGACTATTTTGGATGTTATTGGAATTATTTCCATGGTTACTTTCTTTGCTAGACAAAGGTAATGTAATTGTTTCCATGGTTATGAAAGCAAATAAATTGATGAAGATTACTGTCTAAATTAAAGAATTGACCTTCAGAATTAAGAAATACTAGTACTTTCCCATTCCTACCTCGGTGCAAAAACTTGGAGACGACTTGAGAAGGATGGAATCTGTTAGCTGGTTTCTACCTCTGTTAGTCTTAGAGAGCATGTTGTCCATTAGTTCATCCTACTCAATTAGATGAACTTAGATGCACGTATAATTTCACTTGCATATTAATTTATATTTTCCATAGAAAAATTCTTTTTCTGACATGATTTTGATGATAAGAGAACAACTCATTAATAAGGGACTAGTTTTTTTTTTATGAAATTAGTAAAGGACTAATTACGGACTTGTTTGACTGGATAACTGCAAACTGTTGATGCTGTAGTGCAAGGTGAGCTCTTCCATTAGTTACATGTCCTTAGATAAGTCGGACAATAATTCATTTGGTGTCATCTATGTATGATCTCTATGCCTGTTGAGCTTCAGCTTGTCTACTGCACTGGTGAACTATGATTTTCTGTGTATTAGTTAATCGGAGTTCTCTGTGACTGTGAACTGGTTTTCATATGCAACATTATTCTTAAACATATCTATGGTGCGTATTTTTATTGCTTTAGAAGACTTGTTTCCTTTTCAAAAAATGATTATTTCCGGTTTATTTGAAGGGAGAGAGATATGCTCAAGCGGTGAAAAAATTGGAGTTTGACAGACAACTTGGCCCTTATGCATTGGATCAGTACGGAGATTGGAAGCGCTTATCTAACTTTATTACGAAGAGTACCATTGAAAGTATTGGTAAGTACGTTGCTTTCACATTGTCTCTTAGTGTTTTGACGATGAGAACTGAGGGCAGCATCTGAGCCAAAGATGTGGAATCCTTGGTTGAGTTTGATTATAAAAGAGTTATCAGCATAAAGAGGTAGCAAGTTTGAGAATATTTGGGAGCAATGTCTCTCAACCCTTGTGTTTTTTGCAATTAGATGGTGCCTGATATATGATGAAGTTTAATCCCATTAGTTGTGCACCTACTGGCGTAGGTATCCCATTGGTAACATGATAGCATAATTAAACCCATTAATTATCACATGATTTCTCAATCCCTCTTATCGTGAGACAATGATACATATTAAAATAAACAACCTTATTGTGAACCCTTTTTTTTTCTTTTGCGATTGTTAATTGTGAGCCTTTGGTTTCTTTGACCAGCTCAATGGAATTGGTTCAGCTAGTGAGTTTCATGTCATAGATAATGGGTTATCGACTTATCTCTCTCTGAGTAAATCAAAACATGAGTTACTCTTGTGTGTGTGATCATTGCTCTGTCTTGTTATCCTTTTGCTATTCCCTTCACCAGTTTCATCATTTGGCAGAACCTATTGGAGGAGAAATCACAATTATTTCTGAATCTGAAATGGTTGGGAATGTTCATAAGACAGCCATGGAGAAAGTCTTGGCTGAGCAGTTGAAAAATAGCAAGTTCTCGAAGCCTGATAAGAAGTCACCAAGTAACGGTTGTTATTACACCTCAATTCCTCGTGTTATCAAGCTAAAGGGAGTTTCAGGACAAGATCTTACTAACATGAATCTTGACAAGGTATTTGGCTTAAATCTGTGCAGTTTCTATAAAATGACTAGTCTTTCTATTTTTCTTTTCTTTTGCTTTTGAGAATAACTTTAGATTTTACCTTCAACGCAGACACACATATTGGAGACCATTCTGACGAAGCAATATGGTGGTTCAGAAGATTCACTTCTGGGAGAACTACAATTTGCCTTTGTAGCATTTCTGGTATCAGCCAGCAGTTTCTTCTTTTCTTTGCTCTTTAGTTCTTTATGTGATGATCCAACTTAATTGAGAAGACAGTTGTTGAAGTTAAATATGTGAACAATTTACAGATGGGACAATCACTTGAAGCTTTTCTGCAGTGGAAGCTTTTAGTCAGCCTATTACTTGGATGTACAGAAGCTGTAAGTATACATCAATCTCTCTGCTTGTATGTTGCTAGGAAAATCTTCCTCTCTACCGACATTTCCAGATGCAATAGGGACCTAGATAATACAGCACACCCTCTCTCTCTCTCTCTCTCTTTTCTTGTGATCAATGATACTACTTATGCTTTCAGATAAATCATAAAAGTCTAAGTTGCTTTTGACTATAATTTCCATGCCCAGTGGATTTTTTAACAACCTACATAATCCTAGGTCTATTTTAATGTCAAGTTTGTGTCTAGTCTGACCATTAATTTCTTTGCAGCCTCTCCACACAAGGACTCAGCTATTCACCAAGGTAACTTTCAAGTTTCAAAGAACATATCCTTTCAGTGCATGCTGTCTTATAGAAACATATGTAACTTCCAGCTCTGTGGCCAGAAGCCTGGGCCTATGGAATAATACAACAATTTTATCATTGCATTTCCACAACTCCGTCCAACATAAGATGAAAATGAGAAATCCTATCAGTTAATATGGACAGTGAAAACGAGAAATCCAGTATGTCTATAAGGATTTATTTTGTTTTGCTTTATAAGAAGTCCCTTTATCGTAAGAGTGATCTTATTGTAGAGGCATTCTAAGCAATGCAGGGCTTATGAGTGATGTGATCTTTTTACTCTGGTTAATGAACAATGAGAATAAGTGTGGCCAATGGTATGGTACTATGCTTCTTGGTGTGAAGTTGGGTAAAAGAACACAGTGAACGTGTGGTTCCATTGTGTTAAACTTTGTATTTAGCATCAATAACAATGTGGTGCTGCATTTAATTGGGTGAATTATGGTACCCTGCTTTTCTAGTATTTGGGGTGAAGAATATTCGGTGTATAATTTATCTCTCACAATCACTATTCCTTTGATGAGATGAACGTGTGGATTGAGAATGCCCTTGGTGGTGTAGACGCTATTACTTTTTCATGCAGCTCCATATTTTATATATTTCAGTATGATAAAGATTCCTTGGATTTATTTTGATTTTTTTCTTCCTTTTAGATTCATACATACTGACTCTTGCAATCTGTATTTATCATCAGTTCATCAAAGCAATATATTATCAGTTGAAAATTGGATTTCAAAAGGATAGTAAGGATACTAGCAGGGCAGAGAAGGGTGCAACAACATCGTTGGACGAGTCCTTGTTGTCTGCTGATAACTTCCTGCGCCACCTTTGTAAGGTAAAATCCAGTTCACATAGCAGTGTGTGCTACTAGAGTGTAGGTAAACGATCTTAATATAACTCCCTGGTTTGTTTCGAAACTGACATGCTCCCTAGATGTAAAAACTATTCGACACATCTTAGAAATGTTGTTTTTAACGGGGGAATGTGATGTCCATGCCTGCTTGTGCATCTCGACTATTCCAAAAGGGCCTGTTACCTCTAAGCAGCACAGGCTTCCCACCAAGGCTTGGGAACATGGGATAAGTCGTCTATCATTTTTTGCCTCTGATGGGATTTGAACCCTAATCTCTCAGGGTTTTCAATTTCCACTTTATTGACTGCTGTCATACCGTTGGTAGCTTGTAAGCATTTCACTATGACTTGTCAAGCACTCACACTACCAAGAAATATGGCTAAGGAGGGTTTTACTTGTGATAGTATATTTCTTGATTACGATAGTATGTATCTTATTGAGCCATCTTTACAATTGGTTGCAGGATTTCTTCTCATTGGTGCTTGATGCCCCCATGGTTGATGGAGACCTCCTGACTTGGGTATGCCTCCAGACTGTTTGATTCCTTTTGATTCTTTGAAATTAATTTAGGATGTATTTTCGTAACACAAACGCCAGTGAATAGAGTCAGAAGCATTCCTTATAATGAACTGCCGCATCGTAGTTTCTTGCAATAGTCTTTCTGCAAAGATTACTCTCAACTCAAATGAGAGTCTTTATCTGTCCTGTTATGACCATGTTTCCAGTGGAATCAACTAGTGAATTTAGTCTACTATCTTAAAGTGGATTTACTTCTTTGTCAAATAGGCAAACGGGATGTCAACTTCATACCTCAATTTTTCATCACTAGGAAGGATAATCAACATTTAGTTGTCCTTTTCCCTTTAGATGGTTGTATTTATTCCTATGTAGTATATAAAATGAAAATATATGTGCAGTCCATGTGCATTTATTGTAAGTATTCTATAAAAATCTCGTATGCACTTCTATTCTTAAGCATTCATGGTACTGTTTTGACATTGTTTTCTTAATAATCTGCTTGAGTTACTATATCATGGCAAGTATAATCCACCTTCTGTTCCTTTAGACGTGCAACTCCAGATTCACTGAACAATTGCTTGAAATGCAAGTAAATGAGCTTTTCTTTTCAATTCCCTATCTTGAACACATTCCAAATTGGTGGGTTTTTCTTCTTTGTTGAATGATAGACTAGAAAACTGAGAGAACTGCTTGAGCGGACTCTTGGATGGGACTTCCAGCCGAATAGTTCAGTTGATGGTATGCATCTTGAAGAAGATGATGAGGTTTGGAAAAATCAGATGCTGATTCACTGTTTTTTTCTTTTTATTTTTGGCTTCTTCCTTCTCATTAGGTCTTTCAACTTCTGCAGTTTGCTCCAGTGGTGGAGATTCTAGATCTAGATCACTGAACACTAGCAACATGAATATGAGACATGATCCAAATGTAATCAGCTGTTTGTCAATAGTGATATATCATGATTTCAGAGAGCTGCTGTTGAAAGATTCTGATCTGATAGGCTAGCACCTTCCACTTATGTGACAGCTCAATTAACATGAATGGTGCATGCATATATGAAGTCAAACGTTGCATCAGAAAGTGGTGTTTTGCTGCTTTATAGAAGTCCCTATGCTACATCATATCAAAGTAACTATTATGCTGATCACTGAAGGACATTACTTTCGCCTTGTGTAAACTTATCATTAGAGAATCATGTAACTATTAATCTTTATACAACTATGACAACTGGAAAGGGCAGCTACTCGTTTTTCACATGTCCAAGATGAGCATGTAATGAGTATTAGAACTCTGTTCCGGGAATTGCCTAAGCTGCTAAATACCATAACTCATCTTTCATGTCTGGCATTTCTGAGCTATTTGTTCATGTGTTCCATTTAATCTCGAATTGGGGAGCAGTGAGTTTGCTCGTCTCTTGTCTAAACTTGTATAACATTTTTTGAGGCACGGAATAATAGTAGAAAATGCCTGACCAGTAAGCAGTGAATTTGCTCGTCGCTTGTCTTTTACTTGTATAACATATTTTAGGTACGCAGCAATAGTAGAAAAGACTTGGCCATATCATGGAACGCCAAGGGAGATGGCATTTGAGGAAAAAACAGAAGGGAGTTACATTTAAACTTACTTGCAATCAGTATTTATTTATATCAAAATAAATATAAGTCGTGCATTTTTTTGTAAATAGATTTATCAAAGTGATGTATCTTAACTTTAAAACAAAAAAATTATATTCTGTAAAGGTTGTGCACCCAAAAGTAGAAGCATACTCTTCCGTCTCAAGTGACTATTTTTTTTAACATATCCCAAACTTTTTCTTATTTTTTTTATGTTTAGTTAGTTTTTCAATTTCAACATCTTGTCTAAAATATTTAAGACCATAAAAATTTATAAAGTACATGCTTATTTCAATTTAATTAATAATAGAGAAAATCACCCCACACATCTATAATATCATAAAATTTAAAAATTTAAAGTCGGTGGTCAGTCATACAGGTGTTTGAATTGGCTTAAAAGTTGATCAACCCTATTTTAAAGCCAATTTATTACTTCTAGAGGTATTTGACAAATATAAAAATAACTTTCATTAAGTAAAAAATGACTTAAAATAAGTTAGAAAGTGTTTGACAAGGTTAAACATAACTTAAAATAATTTAAAATAAGATAAAAACCAAAAGTAGGTCTCCCCTACTTTTTATTTTTTTGACTTAAAAGTCATTTTTTTCAAGCCAATCCAAATGGGGTATAAGGGAGTCCCCTACTTATTTGTTCACACTACCCTTAGTTGTCGATAAATATAGAGATTTTCTTTCATTTTAACACAACGGAAATTCTAAACCTCCTCCTCCTCTTCTTCTTCTTCTTCACAATTAAATATATAAGATGTACAATAATAATTTTCATTTTCCTTTACATTATTAATGTTTGTTACTACGTAATTTTGTATATAAGATAATATAGTGTTTTAGTTTTAATGCCCGATAGGTTTTAAGTATTATTTTATAAATTTTATGATATTAAATCCTGGGCGAAGCGCGGATAATTTTATTAGTTTAAAAACCAAAAATAGATCTCCCCCACTTTTTATTTTTTGACTTAAAAGTCATTTATTTTTATTTAAAAATATTTTTTTCAAGCCAATCCAAATAGGGTATAAGGGAGTCCCCTACTCTTTTTTTTTTACTTAAAAGTTATTTATTTTTTATTTAAAAATTATTTGTTTAAGTCAATCCAAACGAGATAGGAGGGAAGTTAAATTGGTACCGGTGGAGTATATATGTTGAGAGCGGGATTTGGGTTTCTTTCATAGGAGAATTTGCTTATTTTTGTTTCCCTCACTCTTTTACTCATTCTCTTACGGCCCGTCCGCCGGTTAGTTCTTTTTCCGGCGAAACAAGGATTATAAGGTCCATTGGAGCTTCCGTTCAGATTTTCCTACTTTGTTTGCTCAATAATTGTCGCTGCACAAATGAAGGTTCATTTTTATCGGGTCTGTTGCTTTTGCTGATTATATGATGAAATAAAAAAAAATGAAGAAGATTATATGATGAAATCCAAATTTAAACCTAAGTAATTGGTTGCGTAGATTAGCTTTTTGAAGTGAATAAATTGACTGATTGTTGAACTTGAGCAAAAATTACATTTTTCATTCGGTTATAGAAAAATTTATTTCAGAAACAGAATTAATTACTAGTTGTCTTTCCAAAAAAAATTCAGATGTTTCATTTCATTTCGCTCATTGTTTTGAAACTTTTCTGTTAGGTAGTTGCTGTGGAAACGATATACTCAAGGAGTGTAGGAGCAAACGATTAGTACAGAGGATGTGTTCAAGGCCCTTGAAAAGATAGAACTTTTCCAAGTTCATTGAGACTCTCAAAGCTTGTCTTGAAGGTTAATTTAGTTTATTTACTCTTAAGTTGTTTAATCTCAGTAATGAGTACCTTTATGTTGATGTTGAACACTCTGTCAGGGTAGACAAGCTTTTCATTTTAATTGCATATAGTCAAGTGTCAACCTTGTGGTGAGATGTCTATGAGTGTAAGTGGTGGGTGCCCATGTAGTTCTTGAACCAAAGAGTTTATATGTTCTGATAGCTTAAATCCTGAGTCCAATAATGGACATAATGGTATTAGCATAGAAGTTTGAGGACAGGTACTATCAACTATGTAATAATTTCTACTTAATTTCCTCTTCTTTTTTTTCCAAATAATAATGAGTATTTTGATTTCCAATTGTAGTTATTTCTCCTTTAAAGAAGCTGATGCGGAATTGGGGTTGAGTTGTATGTTTTTTTCTCTGCACAAATCGGGGAAATGGCTCGAAGGTTTTCTCGTCTTTGTACAGTTTCCTGCATGTGTAGATCAATTACTGGAGTCAAATTACAACCACCAATCTTATCCAGCACATTCCAGTCTCATCCACACACTGTACCCCGTGGCTATTTTTATCCTATGCTCCAATTGCAAGGTTAGTTCTCTGCACGCCTGTCAACCTAATTGGTAAAAGTGATAGAGCTCGAAGCTGATTTTCCCTCTCTGTTATATATTGCTGGTGTTTGTAAATTGTAAGGCACCGGTTTGGACATTCAAGAGTATTATAAGTGATGGAGATGAGGCTTCTTTTCACGTGGACAATCTGTTAGTGGGAGTTCTCATTAAAAACCCTCGACTGCTCCAAGGCAGTCCAAGGACAGATTCTGAATAAGGGTTGCTCAGTTGTAGGACAGTGTGTATAATCTCCTATCAAGTGAATCAGTTTTAACCTAGCATCGAGTCGCCTAGTGAATATTTTTACAACACATATATGTTTCTACCTCAATATTTTGCTTCTTAAGTGCTACTACTTGTGCCTCTGCTGTTGAACCATGTTCCTGGACAAGAATTTGTGTTTTGCCTTTCAGAATTCTTCTGAACTTTTTTTTCTTTCAACGAGTCTGCTACATGTATGTGTTAGGAAATCAAGATAATTTTCCTGTCCTCAAACTTCTTTGCTAATACCATTAAAGGAGAAATTACTACGATTGGAAATCAAAATGCAGCTCACCTCTGCAATTTATCAACAGGTGAAGTATGGATTAGCATATTTCAATTGAATAGTCATGAAGAAGTCTTATCACACCTCTGCTTTCAAGATAATTTTCCTGAAACAAATTTGCATGCCTTTCTTGTGACGGGATTTTGCAGATACTCTATCAATTGAGATTTGCTGATGATAATCACATGTTCAGTTAAAAAAGGACCCTTAAATTCTAACATTTCTATATTTATCTAAGAATCTTAGGGCTGTGTTTCCATTATTGTTATCTTTTAGGCAATCCATACTTCACCTGTTGATAAATTTCAGCTCGCCTTAAAATTTACTTACTTTTATGTGTCTGCCCAGTACTTGAACACTTCTCTTTTCGTTAGTGCTTTTCAGTTGGCAGTCTGATTGTTTCTTGAAGTTGTTTCTTCTGTTCTTTGAATGAAACTAAACCATATAAATTTGGAAGATTTTTGTTAAAGTTTAGTTCTGTAGGTTTGTTATACATCGATAGAATATTTTAGTGCTTGTGCTACATGATTTGGCCTCTTTTTTCCTTGAAATTTCATCCAATTTTTAAAATTCACCATTCCTTGAAGTGGCCACAATATTTTATAATTTAGTCCCTGGACTTGATATGCATATAACTTCTTGATATAGGCCACAAGTCAAGGCATCTAGTTTTAATACTGTAATACGGAGTACTTTCTGCACATAGCATTTTGGCTTTTCTTCTTCTTGCAAGTATAATAACTTGCAAACAAAATTCAAGAGGTTCTATAATTGATGCAGTGTTGAGATCATATGCACGTAACAGACGTTCCAACTATGATCTATTTGGTGGTGGTATACCTAAACCAGATGAGTTTAAGAAAGCCTGGGCAAAACAAATGGATGATGAAGAGAGCCGTCTATGGACAGCAAGTGAAGATGAAAGTGACTCTGATAAAGGTGATAGTCATAGCCGTCTCAGAAAAGAGATTAGGAAAGCCAAACAACGAGCAAAAGCGCAAGATGGTCCTATTGATGCAGATGATAGTGACGAACTGAGAAGTCTGTGGTCTGATAGTGATGATGAGAAGACATTATGGACTGGTAGTGAGGGAGATGATGATGATGATATTCCTACTGAACCATACCCAAACATAAAGAGTGATAGTTACATTGATAAACTGTTTGAGTTTGAGGAAAAACCTAAATATAGAACACTCTCTGAAGCCTTGAAATCTGAGCAGGAACCTGAAGAGTTATCTCCGGGAAAGCAAGCTAGAAAAATTGCTGTGGAAAATGCCCTTAAGAAGTTGAAAAAGGGACCGGATGGGCGTTACATCAATGTTTGGGAGGTTATGAGTGATTTGGACATTCTGATTGGTGCTTTTGAGAACATCATTTCGGGACCAGAATATGCTGAATTGAGACAGGGAGGACCTAAGAAATTGAATATGCAATTCTTCAAAGACATACAAGCTCGTATGAGAGATCCAAACTTTGAGTTCTCTCCTGAAATAAAACTGAAACCAAAGAGCAAATTGGTACGTAGAAAGAAATGGCAGAAAACAGAATCTAGGCGTAGGAAAGCACGGAAACGATAGCTTCATGGTGACACCTTTCTTTTTTGCATTTAAACATTGTACCAATAGATTTATTTCTTAGTGGCTGATTCCAAGTTTCTTTAACTATTGGATGAGAGATAATTCATTTCAAGAAGAAGATGTGGCAGCTGTTGATGGAATTGCTTACTGCTTTCTGTAAATTCCTCATGATTGCTTTATGTAGACCATTTACTTAGATTACTTATTCTTACTGCTGAATGGGAACTCGGATTTCATAACTAACAGTTTGAGATAAGTTAATTGCTCTATACCTACTTTTAGAGTTTCACATTAATGCTTGTTTACTGCAACTGTGATTTCTCTATATTGCAAAGCAGCTAACAGGAATAAAGGCTAAACAGTTGCCTTTCACTGGGGTTTTGCCTATGTCTGAAATTAGGGAGTATCACTACAACATTTGAATGCATAAACGGTGGACTTGTAGTAGCTTGGCAAATAAAGCATGTTGCCTATTAGGTTATTACAATAGTTTATAATACTAGGATAATGTTAACAAAGTTTTACACCGTCAATGTATAAAAGTGAAATTACTTGTAGTAGCTTGGCAAATAAAGCATGTTGCCTATTAGGTTATTACAATAGTGTATCATACTAGGATAGTGTTAACAAAGATTTACACCGTCAATGTATAAAAATGAAATTACTTCAAACAAGAAAGGACAAAACAAACCATAGTTGTTTATATGTGAAAACTGAAATCTAATCTATATATATATATTGGTACGGATGGTAAGTCTCTCAATTGTTATAGTTATTCATGTTCCAAGAATGGCTGATGTTGGGTGGGAAGACACCATAGGGTGTCTGATTGAGAATCCTTCCTGGTTGATATGTGTAAATATCATTGATGATGTTGCCAATGCCATTGTCATGGCTATTCTGCCTGTAAGAGTTCATCATTGTTGGAGGGTAATCAAAAAAAGAGTTCATTGTTGAAGATGGATGTTTGTAATGGAAAGCTTGCATGTCATTCATCTCACTGAATGGCCTTGGTTGATATCCATATTCCCCTTGAGCAGTGTGTAAGTTCTGTAGACCTGGTTCTTCACTTCCCAAATTAGCAAAACAGGAATTAATACTTCTGAGACCTTGGTTTGGATAAAAACTAGGATTACTGTCTCGGAGACCTTGGAAATCAACCATTGAATTTCTTCTACCTTGTAGACTTTGGAGATATCCAAATGCAGAAGTTCTTCCGAAATCTGCATTGTTAATGATGCTTTCTTCCTGAACATTGTACGGATAATCCATGTTTCCTAGTGCAAAAAGATTCCGATTTGCCTCACCTGAGAGAGAGTCATTTCCAATACTCTGGTCCAAAAACTGTTTGTTGCCCCAATGATCGAAGCCTCGTTCAGTAGGGGCACACATAGGCCGTCTCTTGGAGGCTCCAAGAGAATTGTACAAGCTGTGCATTTGGTTTTGATGCTTGGTATTATTGAGCCAGTCAAGGAGTTCTCTGTTTTGAGTCTTCTCATCGTCACACCAGCTTAGACCTCCCTGGTTTTGGTGAAAGTCATCATTCAACCAGTTGTAGAGTAGTTCTGTTTCTTGGTTTTCCATTGGGTTTTCTGATAAAAGCTCTGCATGTTTTCCAGATTTGTTTAGCTTCTTGATCAGTGTTGCTGAGTCCACATTCCCAGATATTATGACCACTTGTTCATCAACATCCATTTTCACTTGATAAACCCCTGAAACCAAATGTTTTGTCAATAATGTAAATAATCTTTATTCTAAAGTATGAACTTCCTCTGTTCTTTTGTTAAGATCTGCCAAAGCAATAATTTTTGCTCACCCTCTCTTTTAATTTTTCCTGGTGTGCATGTTGGAGAAAAGGTGGTAGATGCTACTAGTGTAACTTATAGTAAGTGAAAAATGAGAGTACCTTCAATTCTTTTAAGCAGTTTCTTCACCTTCTGCAAGCATCCATGACAGTTGATCTGTACTTTAAGAACACAAGTCTGTAAACAAAAAAATACAAAGCAGTAGTTAAAGAAGGCTAATGAGAAAACTAATTAAGTGGAAAATGAGAGAACTAATGAGAACTAAGTGAATGACCTGAATTCTCACAAGCTCAAAGTCCTGGACAGTAGCAGACATTTTTCAGGTAAGTAGCAGTGTTTAGTTTGTTCTCTTTTGTCAAATGAAGTTGAAACTTGTTGTTTCTATTTTAAGTCTTACTAATAACTTACCTCAAAAGGATCATCCTACAAATGGCTAAATATCAGCCACAGTAGCACTAGTAAAGAGAAATGCAGGCACCAAATACATGACTCAGTAACAGCTGCAGCAAGAACATGGGGTACACTAGCTAGCTTGTCCTTTCATCTCAGTACAAAACACAACAGACCCTCAGAAATGTCAGTGTGTTGAGTGTTTTTGTGTTCTTTAGATAGGAGGTTTAGGGGGGTTGGGGTGTTGAAGGGTGTAAGAAAAGTGTGATTTGACCAGTTGAGTAGTTCAGAGAAATGAGGATTGACAGTTCAGATAAAGGGAGTAAGGCAAAGTATATCATTTTTTCCATATAGAGGCAACTGTTAAGTGTCAGATTCTTTTGTTAGTAGCATGACTATGTGTGTGGGAGTAGTACATTTACCTGATTTGATCCTAGCCAGAAACTTTATTTTGAATCTCATATCATAATCTGAAGAATAGGTGGTAGTATTAAAATTTTCTCACTACATTAAACTCATGATAATTTGTAGAAAAATCAGGACAATATTTGAGCCATAGTGCCATACTTGTTCAATATTTCATTTAGGCCCAACAAATTTTCGTAAGGCCCATGGTTGCTGAGTGTTACATTTTGGGTCCAGATAGCCATGAGCCATCTACAGTAATGCAGCTATTGTTCCTTTTAAGATTATTTGTTAATTTTGGGCCTCAAGTTCATGTTGGAAATGCAGGAAATTACGCCCAATAGCTTGTTATTGGAAATAGGTGATCTTAAACTTTTGACCCCCACTTGTCTTAATTCAACCTTCAAGGTCAAAAGTAAAACTTGAAGTTTTGCCCATGGGGTAAACGAGGTCAAAAATTGAAGACCGCCACATTTAAGGACATTCTTGTAAATCAACATGATGGACCATATTTGGGAGGCCAAGCATAGTCATTACATTGATAAAAGTTTTGATCCAACATGTTATATTAATTAATCATAGTTAACATAAAGAGTATCTGTAAGGGACACTGTAACATGTTATGTTGTTTTTTATGACCTTTGTTGATTTTTATGAGGTGCTTTATAAGAAAAATATGCTGGCAAAGGCAACCCCAGACAGTACTAATGTATAGCCAAATAATGACATACATGTCCCCCTTCAATAGTTCAAAAATAAAAATCTTTTAGGCCCCTCTTAACATTGTAGACTCCTTACACTTTAATTTGATATTTTCATAAAAGAAATGTTTCTAAAGTATTAATCATATAATAGGAAATTATTATGTAACACTGCTCATAGCTTTCATGTTGATTGATATTGCTAAAAAAGAAAGAAAAAGAAAACATTTACAGTTAGTTGATTGGAGCATAGGGTAGCTTATTATTAGAATCAGATTAGTCTTTCAAACTCCATTTCAAATTTTATTAATTAAAAAAAAATCGATAAATTGATAAAAAAAATCTTTGCTTTTTCTTTATTTCTTTCTTGTATTTTAATTGAAAAAAGAAGGATCGAGTCTTGTGGATCAGTGATTAATAAAGGTCTTATGTTTCAATAATGCCTTATTTTTAAATATATTTATGTGGCTAATGTGGGGAAATTTTTCCTCCAAGACACACAAATCATGGTTAAGGTAATTGTCATTAACTGATATAAACGGCGGAATTAACATTAAAATGTTCACAATTTTTGTTTTATCCACTCAATTTCTAAAGCAACATTGTCATTTTCTTTGTTGTCCGGATTAAAATTCATAAATAAATAATTAGTGGGAATATTTCCTATCTTTTTTTTTTTTTTAATAAAATGAAATTGGTCGGTGTTATAGACTTGCTTTTTTGAAAACTTGACCATGTAATGATGGAGTACCTAATTTTAAAATTTTACTTTCTTTCTTTTCGTTTTAAGATAATAATTAATACCCCATCTTTAATTTGTTGTCACTGCTCAACTTTTTAAAAAGAGAAAAATTGGTGAGAAGACTTTTTAATTAAGGACTTTAAACGAGTCCGGAGCCTAAAGGGCAAAAAAAATTGTCAAAAATTCCGAAAGGGCACATTACTTTTTATTCTAACCAAAAGGGCAAAATCACTGCGTCAGCAGCGATTTTCCTCTGACAAAATGACAAAATCGCTGCCCTAGCAGCGATTTCATCTAAATTTTTTTTTTATTTTTTTAAATTAAAAATCGCTGCTTTTTT